AGAGGTGCACAGTTGTGCCAGAGCTCCAGGGGATGCAATGTGGTACTGGTTTGGTCTGAATGAAACAGTAATAAAGAAAATAACACTGTAAGTAGACTCCAGATGATGGAGAAATTCAGAGGCGAGTAGGTGAATGGCTCCCTGCTCTGAAATGTCTGCTCAAGTCCCAGTGCTGGGAAACTCCAGTCTCACTTGCTGCCTGTATTTAACATCTGAAAAATCTTACATTGGTGAGTGTATTGCCAGGCCTTTTTCCTCTATGAACACAATCTTTTGAAGTTTTAATCACTAAGAAAAAAATCTCTTTCCTCTGTTGTGATGCAGAGGAGAAAGTAAAGAAATCCACGCAGCAGGAAAGAGTCTGGAACATGTGGCAAGATGTTTTACTTGTATCGCAGTATTTTGCACTTACTATAGTGCCTTTGATCCAATGGCCTTAGAATATTTTATGAGTTATGAGTGATCTTTGATCTTTTTGTTTCCCAATCCTGATGAAAAAAGCTTTGTCTTATTTTTTCTGCCAGAGTAAACTGATTTGCTTGAGATTGAGATTATTCTCAAATTGTAAAGCCAGAAACAAAGCCAGGATGGCAGCTCAGGTCACTGTGCTCCTCTGTGCCTTCTTTCAGACCCATCTCGCCTTCCAAAACGGAACAGAGTCCAAAAAAATAGCGACTAAAAATCACAAGTTGCCCCTATGTTTACATGGTAAAAATTGTAGACCCCAGATAACAGAAGGATGAGCTCAGGATAAATACACAGGCTACTTTATTAATCCATTTTAAGCACACTGGATTATGTTTGGACATAACACACCAACTGTGATGCTAAGGACTAACATCTGTCTTTGTTAAGATGCTGTCCAAATTTCATCAGGAACGTATTTTTCATTAAAATGTTTCAACAGAGCTGGTCTCTGAGGCATCTGAGTGGCAGTGGATAAAATGCTGGGTTGCCTTGCCATTGGGGTTGGTCTCCCTGGAGAGAGAGAAACTAGTAACAGAAGGGACAGGAGAACAAGAGAGCAGATGAATACTCATTTAGTCCACCACCATAACGTTCGAGGACAAAATTAATTTAGACACTGAAGGATACAAAGAGGGAGTAACCTTTAATTGCTGATCCGTAGCACCAGCTGCTAATGCGATAAACAAGCAGGGAGCGTGCAGAAGGATCCCACCTGCGTGCAGATTCCAGGTAGCTGCTGTGCTGAGGTGGCCTGTTGTGGATGAAACATTAAAGACAGCCACGGCAGGAAGGTCAGGCAGGAAAAAGCACCATGGCCTGTAAAAATGGGATTGCGTGTTTTCCAGCTGCTGGCAGCTGTGCAGAAAGCACTTGCACATGTAGTGATGGGCGGTGTCAGGGGCTGTGGGCAGCTGCCCCCTGGCTCAGCCAGGCTGACTCCAGCCGCAGCCTGAAACAGATCTGCTTGATTTTACCCAAAACCAAGTTAAGGGTACTCGTATGAAGGGCATCATCACCAGATTGGCTGTGCTGGTGGTTTTCAGTGGGCATAAGGTGCTGTGTTGGTTTCCCCACTGCCAGCACAGTTGGGATGGGAAGAAAACGTCTTTTTCTTCCGTTGGCATAAAAACAAGATCGTGTAGTAGCACATATTGTCTACAGACCACCAGGTGTGAAAGCAGAATGGCTGGCTACCGAATTCCCTCTCTGCTCTGCGTAGGGGGGAAGAGATGTGACACTGTGTGTGATTTCTATCTGTGCAAAATATGCTAAAAGCCTCCTCTTGCTGATATGAAATTGACCTCAAGCTTCCCAATGGGAGCAGTAATAATATCTTGACTCAGAGAGAAGCGTGCAAGCCAAAGAAATCTCTATTTGCCTTCATCTGCACTGGCAAAGGAGAATTAATTGTGAAATCCCCAGAGCAGTGCTGGCTGGGATACAAGATAGTCATCTGTTATGGATGATCAAGGTAAGGGCCAAAATGGTAATATAAATACTTGGTGGTTTAGGGGGAAACTTAAAAAAGCTGGAAACTGGAGGCTGGAAAAAAGGAAGAAATTGAACCATGTCCTTTTTCAAATGATACCTCTGCACTGTTCAAGAAAATTTCTCGAGCTATCGAAAAAAAAAAAAAGGAGAGAAATGTTGCACTGCCTTTGCACTGACTGACTGCAGCCTTGATTGGAAAACTGTCAAGAATATTAATAATTTAATCACAAAGGCATTTCAATTAATAAAAATAAGTAGGAAAAAAAGGTAAAATTGTCAGAAATCATTTGAAATCAGAAGCATAAAGCTGGTGAAGAACTTAAAACAAGATGAGATCTGCAGTCAGCAATGTTGAGTGATAAGGTATTTGTCTAATTTTAATATATATTTGAAACAAAAGAATGGTTGCTATTCAACTGATCTACCGTTGTGTGAAAAACCTGTTAACTGGAATGCAAAAGAAACACAGTAAATTGTTCTGTTCTGGTTTGGCATGGAAAACAGATGATAAATCCCTGTTCCAGGTTGTTAAGAAAATAATTCCTGTACCAACACAAGGCTGAGAATGTAAAATAATAGCGGCTCCACTTAAAGAACTAAAATCAGTATCCTAGGATAAACTTGTATCCAACAGTTTGTAAATGTTATTTTCCCAACCACTTGGTCTGGAGATGCTGTGGAGCTTTCAGACCACTGGATGAATTATCATCTGTGGATTTTTACTGATTTGACTGGTTTGTAAAAAGAGAGCAGCCCTGGCTGATACAGAGCTGTCAGCCTTAGCCTGATTCCAGACACAGGGATGGAAAAGCTGATAGTAAAAAGGGAAAGTACCATCACCAATGCCACTTGACAAAAGTTGGTGGAAAATAACTTTAGATGAAGTTACAAGGTTGGTGAGTAAAGGGAGCAGTGGTTTTTTTCATAGAATTTTATAGAATTTTCATAGAATATTTGGTTTGGTAACTTCTGACATTTCCACCAAGGATGCTTCTGTAGAATTAGCACAGTATGCTTTAAAAAGATTAAGTGTTCACTAATTGGTCTCAAAATGTCCTTTTAATGTGTAATTTTCATGCAGAATGTATTTACCTAAAGATTTAAGCATAGATTAGTCTTTAGCAATTTAAAACTTCATCAGAGAGCTAAAAGAGGATCTAACATCATCACTGCTCAATTTTTCAGATAACACACAAAATGGGAGACTGGCAAGTTCTGAAGAAAAGTCACTACCACTGAACAATCTCTGAGTAAGCTGGGCTTTAGCAAACAATACCTATTTTAATACAGCTCCCATAAAATTACACATCTAGGAACAAAGATTGCAGAACATGCTTTACAGGATGTGCAGCTCCCTCCTGGGGACTCATTACTTTACAAAGATCTGGAGTTCATACTGAGTTGTTAGCTAATCTTGAGCTCCCACTGTCATACCAGTTACTTCGTGCTGCTGCCCACAGGTTTGGAGCAGAGAACAATGTCACCTTACTTTGACAAGTCTTTTGCCACTATCCCACCTGAAAGTATTACTGCCAAAGCGCAAGAAATATGACCTCAACCAAATTCCTATGAGGAAACACAAAACTTGCTGAGAGAGTAGGTAGCATGGGTATCAAAATAAAGAGATGATCAAGTGAAATTTCATCTGTCACTGTGAGAAATAATCACACAACCATAGCACAAAGGACAAGCCCCGAGGAAGCAAACCTGCAGGAAAGCATCTGTAACTTGCCAAGGAAGCTGCAGGGCAGGTTTAATCAGATGAAGCCTTGAACCTTTCCATCTACACTGTTGGCTAATAAACCCACTAAGGCTCAGGCTCATAGTTTTTCTACTGTGCTTAAGAAAACTCTAGCCTCGGATGTCCACCGGGAAGCCTGCCTGCAGTGCACTTAGCCTAGTGCAGTTTTCAGAAGACCACCCTCAAACCCCACATTCCCTCTTAAGATGCCCACAGGAATGAAAGTCCAGAAAAAGTCTGAGATCTAAAGTCTGACATCTGAGTCATATTTGCATCTGAGGTATGTGGATGGGGAGTGAGCTGAGCGTGAACATAGGTTCAAGCAAGTGTTTGATAGCATGGACATGCTGTCTGTGTGTGATGGCTGTGAGTATAAAAACTGGAGGAACAAATTACCTCTGCAGTTAGGACTTTTACTATAGCTTTCCCTGGTCCCCTGCTGGTGTTCACAGTGGTTATTAGGTAAAAGCCTTTGGAAGAGCAGAAGAAAGGACAATGTGGTGGACAAAAAGAATCCAAATGATTTATGTTTAAGAAACAGTTACATTCCAGGACACCAGGCTTAATAAAGGACTTATTAAATATAAGGTCCAGTGCTCAGAAGCCAAAGCTAAACAAACTCTGATTATGTACACCGAAAACGTATTTCCAACAGGTAATAATCACTGGAATAATCTGCCAAGGGCTGCAGTAGGATTTCCCAGAAGATGCAACCTCTTATTGTTTCTGAAGAGGAGCTCTACTTCAAACACAAATCAAGCAAGGGAAGTCTTACAGCTTCTGTTACCCGAGAGGTCAAGCGAGGTGGTTATAATACTCTCTTCTGGCCTTGTAACCTATAAATAGATTAGAGTCCCAGTGGAAAAAAAGAATTATCCTTATCTTGGGCTTTCCCAAAACACTGTGGAAAAAACAATAGGAATGCAGAAAGATCAGAAATAGTTGCTTTGCAACAGTTGTGTCTAGTTTGGTATTTCTACTGAAAAGACCAAAAGATTTTGATTTTTACCGCAGAATGTCTTTTAAGATCTTCTTTCTTCCTGCCAGAGTCAGCCATGCCAAATACACCCATTTCCAGAGCTGCTAACTAGTCAATGTTTGATAATCATAACAAAAGGTTGGGTTTGAAGTTGGTGGGAGTTTTGCTGTTCTCATCTAATGGGTGGATCAAACCAGAATATCTTTGCAATTTAAGGACACACCTCAAATCCTCCATCCAATGCAAAATGAAACTCAGGAGAATTATGCCACACACACACAGCTGCTGAGTCTGGTTGAAAGAACAGACGTTTCTCATATACTGTGTCAAATACTGTTATATTTAGGCAACACTTGAAAAGAATTCTACCTACATGAAGTGAGTCACTAAATAGCCACTGTACAAATGCCATACCCGCCACAGACACAAATGTATTCTGTGCAACTGTTCTGCTTTTATTGTTCTTTGCTAAAAGAGAGTGCTTCACATAGCATGTATCCTCCTGCAATGTTTTTTGGTTAGAATAAAATAACAAGTCCTGCCTTTTAGTTTCTGAGTGTTCTGCACGCATGAAGCAGGTGGCACAGGAGCACCAATTGGTTGACTTTGTTTGACCAAATGGTTGACTTCAAAAATACAGAGAAAGAGCATTTAGATTACAAGTCCCCTCCTATACTTACTTACTGAAATAATTATGATGATAATTTAAGTACATAAAATAGTTTGAATTGACAAAATAATGCCAAACAACTAAATAGTCTGAGCCTTATGGTCAGAGCAGGACTAGAATCACAACAGTGCTGAGACGATTCCCCTTTTACCTTGAACTTGCTGTCCAGCTCTGCTGTCACCATGGCAGAGCAAGGTTTAATGTGCTCTTTCATCAGTAGAAATTTAAAGTCACAGCATTTGCAGTCCAGTGGGAAAGCAGTAAACCCTACCTGGTCTTTGGTCTGGAGCAGGGATATGAAGCAGGGTGGTTTCTGTCAGGTGTACCTCTCACAAGCATGTACCAACTTCCAGGCTATGGGGTTTTCTGAAACTGAAATTGTCTCAGCCACTCCTGAAACTTTTGTGTTTCGATGTTGTTGTTTGCTGGGTTTTTTAATTTGTATAATACTTTAATTCTAAGCCCCAAAGAAAAATTATTCTCAAGCTTGCTGGCCAGGACAAGTACCTGGGAGGTACGGCAGACACTTGGCCCTCTGCTCCAATAAAAGTATTTGAGTAGATCCGTAAAGTACAGATGAATGTTGCCAACAGACATGTCTAGAGTACCCTCTCAGCTTGAGTACTTGTAGCTCAGTCTTGTGAGAATAAAATGATAGTTGAGGTCTTCCCAGCTGAAGATGACCTGAAGCTACAGGGTCTTGCATTTCACATGAATGCCTAAAGGGCTGAGAATTAGGATGAAATCAGAGCTGCAAGAATGGGAGAAGCAAAGTAATTGTTAGATTTGTCAATCTAGCTCAACAGAAAATACATTAGAGGGAGTTCCTCCCAGAGAAAACAGTGGTTTCTTATCAAATCCACAAGTAATTTTGAATTGGCCATTCCTGCCTTTTCAGTGTGTATTTTGAAAGAACTGTCCAACTGCAAATGAGAGTCTCTACTGTTGGCAACAGGCTCCTACTGCCTCCCACTACTGTCCTCGTGAATTCAGTGACAATACTTGCACTAATTTTAGAAGAAGCAGGGTCAGGCTTTTTGGACAAACCATAGAAGTCCTGTAAGAAGAACTGAGCATCAAAGAGTTTAGCTAATCAATATGCACCCACTAATGATTATTAAAGATACACTTCTGAAGACTCCCAAATACACATATATGCATACTTTCCAGAGGAAAAAAAATTTGCACTTCAGAAATACAGTCCAGAGTAGATCTGTGTTTCCATAGGCTTAATGTAATTTTCCTGAAAACAAAGGCAAAGGAGAAACGGAAAAGATGTACAGATTCCTGAGGGGTGTTTTCCTGTCAGAGATATAAAAAGGCCCATGTTTTCAAATGAAAAACATAATCATCATTCCAGACTGCTCCATAAAAAGCCAAGCACTTTTTGAGCAGACTTCTGTTCAAAGGACCATGTATTGGGGCAGCCCTGGCAAAATGAGGGAATGGTCATATATTGTGATATAAATATCCCAGGAATAATCAACACAGGAAAGGTTCATATATGCACCCTCTGTATTAAACTAGTGTCATCTGTAAGAATGGCAATTCCTGCATTTCCCCCTCTTCTAGAATCCTGCTAGGAAATGGGACTGGACAGTGACAGTTTAGGATAGCGTCATGTACTACCGCAGTACCACACACCTGTAAACATGTCACTCCACTTGCTCACCCAACAGCTGACTCTCAGTATGGTTTCAGGTACATGATTTCTGTTGTATGTCAGCTGGGAAAACACGTTTAGATGTGCCAAATGCCTTCCCAGTGAAATGCCTGGCTCAAACTTGGACTGGTTGCCTCAGGAAAGTGGTGCTTTTGTAGACATCTGTAGCTTGACTATTCTGGCTTGGATGGGTCACAGGCTACTCAGCAACAAATCCAGGGCATTCTCATTACATTTAATTCTGCCCTTAAATCAAAACTGTCTTCCACCCTTTTAAGTACAAAGTAAGACAGTAAAAATTAGTTGTGCTTTAAAAACCTGCCCCATGGAACCACAAGATTTTGATGTGTAAAGGTTTTAAAGCTGCCTAAAATATTTAGAAAGAAAAAAAACTCAATAGAACAGTCTGTTTAAGAAAATGTTTTAATTTTATTACTTTCTAGTAGTCATTTTCTCATGTGTCATTTTCTCATTTTCTCTAAACCAGCTATACAATTTACCTGATGGATTTCTTCTCTGTAGCAAAAGAAATCAAGGAAAAATCTTGGGAAAGAAAAGCTTGAGAAGGTACCATTATTCTAAATAGGCTGTATTATTATTGCTTAATTAAGATAATGAAACACTTAGGGTTGGAGGAACAGAGGCTGGGAGTTTACACTTGGCATTTCTTACAGGTTTTATTCTTTCTGCACAAGACATGCCCCCTTGTGGGGAGAGGTTCAGGCCCACAAACCATTGGTCTCCCATGACAGGTTTGGTATCGGGCAAAAGAGACAGTTGCCACAAAAAGCTTTTTGCTTCTGAATTTCTCATTTTTCAGTCCCTCCCTAGAAGTGTCATCTTGGTGTACCTTGCCTTTGGTGGGTTGTGGAGAGGGTGAAGAAAAGCAGCAAGCTGTAAGGCTCCCAAAGAGATAATAACAGGGGTTAACACAGTAAGAATAGTGTGGAACTGCTTCCTTTAGCTGTGTCAAATGCATTAGTTTTAACACCCTCCTGGAGCAGAGGAAAACTGCCCTAAAGAGAACAGTGCACAAAAGTTTGCTCATGACAAGAGGACATAATTCACTGAATCGAAATGAGCATCCTGCAAACCCCAGGCACCATCACTGTAGGCATCTCTGCACTTAACTCCTTATTGGCAGGCTCTTAACCCATTTCTAAGCTATGGTAACACTGAAATAGTTCTGAAAATATTTTCAGGCTCTTATGAAAAACCTCTTTGTCCTTTCTTGTAATTCTGATTTGGCCATTACAACCCCAATGCAGTTACCTATATGTTGTCCTTGCCCATACCTTGAATTAATTTTGTTATTTACTAAAAATCGTCTCTTCAAAATGCCAAAAATTTAGGTGATGTGGATCATAAACATCCACTTAAGTGTTATTATCATGACAACAGATCTTCAAGTAGTGTAGCAACTCCACTGGAGTTATGAAAACTGAGGCTATCAAATTGCATTCAGTGTGAACACAGGGTGAGGAATACCAAACAATATGATACCTTGTGATTATTAAGCACAGGGTGATAGTCGTCCTCCTCCATTCAATACTGAAAGCATATTAATTTTCACATAATGAGAGATAAGCAAACGAACTGCCTCCTTGAAACAGGTGACCAGCTGATGAAACAAACAAATGATCTTTTGTAAGAAGTACAAGGTAAAAACTAAGCCCCTTAAAGCACAGAGACTGGAAGAGTGTCGAGAGGCTGCTCTACTCTGCTAGAGAGGACAGAGAAAGGGCACCCAAAGTGCAACATAAATTGACAGGAAGGAAGATGGCAAGGAAAGAGAAGGGAGGAAGTCTGTGCTAACAATGTTTCTATCTGAAATACTAGCATAAGATATGACAAAATAAACACCGTGATTTCTAGATTCACATAAAATACAATAATCTCTCCAGCAGCAAGTTCTTTCTGTATCAAAGTACAGAACCCCAAGATCCTCTCTTAGAAAACTGTTCATCACTTCAGGGAGAAACGGTTATTCTACACTGGTTTGTTCCTTACCCCTCAGTACACACTCAAGTGACTTTTCTTATCACTGCGGATACATCTATCTGCTTTGTTACTCTAGACATAAACAAATTGAAATTGGAGTATGCAGTAACCTGTCTTCTGGGTGCTGACCCTCATGGAAGACTACAGGGATATTCTCTCCACTTTCACTTGCGTAGAATCTTCATTTGACTTCTCTTGAAATGAGAAACTATAGAGCACATCAAATAAAATGTGAAAAATGAGCGAGTTGGCTTGAGACAATTGACATGCTTCTGACTTTGTGATTTCTGTTTCCTTTCAGTTTCATGTAAGAGGATTCAGCACTTGAAATACCTGAGAACTGTAAAGCATTGCAATGTTCATGTTTGTTGCAGTTGATAACAAAATAAAATGTTTAAGTCAGTTCTTGGAAGGATTCTGCCCTCTGCTCTCAACTGTTACATAAAACATTGTATACAAATGACATTAGCTTTGTGTCAGAAATAAATTTGGGTAGAATCTCAAGCCTTCCACTGAATCATCTCTGCAAAGATGGCCCATCTTTTCAGCAAGAAGAAGCCTAGAGAAAGCAAAAGAAGATGTGCTGTATTAATTGAGGACAACATGGTAACTAAAGTATTAAATACAGCGATTATTACTTACCTTTCTTTGGCTAAGAGAACAGACATCCCCACCAGCTTGGCAAACTCATCAGCTGTGAGAGAACCCTTTTCAGATACCTGTCAAAAACCAAATACACAAATAACTTAAGGCATTAAAAGAACAACAAAGTTCTCTCAGCTACTGAATCAGGTCTAGCCTTAAGAAGTGATAAATTGGTAGCAAATCCCTCATGAAGAAAATTAGTTTGTTTGCATTTTTAAAAAGTACAACTAATTATGACTATTTCCCCTTAAAAGTATCTATTCTGTGCCCATGGGAAATTGCCAAGCATAAAAAAGGAACACAGAAAAGAGTTAGATCTCTAAAAAAATGGTATGGTACCCTTTTCTTTGGATTTTTTTAAAAGATGCCTTGGAACCAAATGAATGGAAAAATCAGAATACCTCAGACAGCAGAATACTGTTACAATAAGTATTTACACAGCCCATCTATGCTAAGTGATTCTGCAAACACCAAAGCCTAAATGAAGAAATAAAAGACCTGTTTAGAGCAGGTCATCAATGTAGAAATTGAAGTCATCTCAGGTAGAAGTGAAGAATTTGAGTTTAAAATTTAAAGTATGCCCACTGCCTATGGGAAAAATTCCCAAACCTTAGTACTTCACATGATATTACAGCATACTAGGGGGATAAGTAAAAGCCACCATCACATTCACTTGATACAAAAGACTGGTTTGGCCCCTTTGTCTCAGCCACGCTACTTAATACATGGTAAAATGAAACCTCACACACGTTGGACATGTGCATGTTTGAAATGCTAGATAAATACTAGATATGAAGTCTAGAGTTATTGCTGCATTCAGTTTCCCAGATAAATATGTTTTATTACCCAAAACTTAATTAATTCTTCCATTTCCACATTGCTGTAGATTCAAGCCAACTTGTAATGCTGGATGTAGCTGCCATTTCCTGCTTCCCACATAACTGGGTGGGGAGGGGTCTATTGTGCATCATTCTCAGCAGTAGTCGTTTTACAGAAACTCAGATCAAATTAGTCCTAACATGAGATTTTAGGAAGCTAGGTGATCAAATCTGAATAATGGAAGTCAGCTATACAATTAGTGATTAATTATCTTTCCTTCCCAAACCACTACTCTCATCAAGGGTGACTTTGGATTCCTTTGACATCCGTGTCATTTCCTGTCTTCACCAGCCATTCAAATCACATCTCTCTCCTGTCTGAAACCTTTCACTTCTTCGCAGTACCTAATGTATAATGTACAGTAACATGAAAGTACAGGGTGCTTTTGGCCACAAGTCTGATCTCATCTTCCTGTTCCCTTATGGGCTAGTCCTCCTCATTTGAAGCCTCTCCCTTACATTTTTCTATGGAGCCAAAGTCTCACAGTATGAAAATATCAGAAAAAAGGCACTTTGGTAATAAATCCACCATCTGTTACTTTTTCCAGTTAACCTCCTCTGTTATCAAGAAAGGTTTTTCCTTTCCTTTCCTTTCAGAGAGATAAGTACTCTTACTGAAGGCAACAAATATTTAGAAACCAATCAGAAAAAACCCTCTAAAATGGAGTAGGTATTTTTCTGCAAGTATAAGAAAATAAACTGAAAATATTAACATATATTGAAAGATTTAAGCATTTTAGTTTTGATAATCTTAGAATGGAATCTTTTAGATTGGAATATGCATTTCTCTTATCTAAATCGTTATCTAAATACATTTATCTAAAAATCTTTTTGATGAGTGAAAGCTATACGGTAACAAATCATGGAAAATGCACTGAAGAGTCTACCTCGTGTCAAGTGAGAAGCTGTCTGTGATAGCTCTACTTTTTCTCTACTGCCTAAGAAAAAGCCCTCTTTGACTTTAATGTTTAACCTGAGATACACTGAATTTGCCTTTTCTCAAGTGTGTGAAAATCAAGAAATTACATTCCACTGAAAAAGACATAGAAAAATGCATCAAATAATGGGATAACAGGACTTTAAAGCATCCAGAGACAGCAAGACCACAAAGGTTTATGACACTGAGCAATTTATACAATTTTTTTCCTGATGAAGCTAGCTTAATTTTACACACAATATTCTCCGAGTGCTCATCACTGCAGCAAACTCAGTACAAGATGTTACACATACGAAGCACTGTTTTATGAAATAAAGCCAAACCAAACTACTACCTGTATCAACCTTTAAGAGCTGCTTCCACTGCCTTCAAGCACATCATGTTCAGTGTTTAAAATGGGCTTCTGTTAAATTAGGTGCTTAATACCTGCCACAAATTTAATCCTACAGCACAAAAGATCTGGAGGAAGGTTTTAGGTTAATAAAGTTTGAGAAGAGATGGAAAAGTGATTTATTCCTTAAAGAGAAAGCAATGAGTAGTTATTGCCTGCACAGAACTTTGAAGATGAGAAGTGCTATTTAAGTATTACTCTAGAAGATATGGAAGTGGAATATTTTGTATTTCAAAACCTCAAAAGGAAATCCCGTACCTCAAGTTTTTGTACCTGATGTGTTTAATTTTCCCTTGTATGGTCAGAACACTGAAGGAAATGAAGTGCACTTACTGTTTCTAAAGCAGAAGCTACCATTTCCTCTTCATTATGAGACTGGAGTTCAATCACCATCACACCACTGTCAAATATCCGAAGCCTAAAATCAAAAAAGAGAAGCAAAGTAACTAAAAACCCCATGCACATCACCTATGGTCACATTTCTAAGGCATCCACAGCTATAACCACATTACAAGAGGGGAAAAAATTCAAAAGCCCCCAAACAAACGCTCTAAAATGAACTTAAGCTTAATAGCATCTTCAAAAGCTAAAGAGACTGAAAAGAGCAGAGTATATGTATGGTCTTGGTTAAACCCTTTTCCCAGTCTGAAAAAACTGTATTTGAAGTAAAAAAAAAAAAAGTCTTCCTAGCAAAGTGAACCATAGCTAAAAACTAGTATTTTCATGTAGAGTGGATATTGGCACATACAGCAGCATCCTTTAAGCAAAGAATGCCTTTGTAGTAGATTTTTGTTGTTGTTTAAGAGGTAAAATACTAAATCATCATGGTCTGACCTGTAAGTGCCATGTTTCATAAATAAATCTGTAAAGCTCTTACCTTATTGGCAATTTCAGTGATTCCAGCATTTTACAAGCATTTACTAAATCTTCTGGTGACAGCAACTATTAAAATAGTAAAACATATTTATTCACAGCTTGCATTTCAGGTACATAATACAACACCAAAACAAACAGTTTCAATAACTACAGCTATAAAATACACCAGGCTACACTTATTGTTAATTTTCTTCCTTTCTTTTGTGCAGTCTATTTTCTTGGCTTCTATGCTGCTCTCTGTTCCTTTATTATGTGTTCTATAATAATCCTTTTGCCTTCTTTACAGAAAGAATTGTTGTATTTTTTAAAAAGAAACCCAAAACATTCACCATTCTTTAGTAGTTTCTGTCCTTTAAGTTTTATTTTCAGATAAGGATGGATTTTTCCTTTTACATGGTATTACAAAAAGCAGCACACATTATCACAACTCGTAAAGGATACATAAATAATACATGGAAGAAGAAGAAAGGAAAAAGGTAAAACCAGACTAATTTTAATAAAGGGCTGATCACTTCTTGCTGTTAGACAGGTAGAATGAGCAACTGCTAAGGAACATTTTTACCCTTTTTCTTTAATTACCTTATAACTTAAGTACATTTTATAAAATATTTAACAATATGAGCAGTTTCTCACCTCTAACCCTCGCGCTCGATTCACCAGACAGTACACTTCTGTGAGCGACATGATCCCTCCTTGCTCCTGTGTTAAGCACAAGACTGGTAAGAGCAAAAGCATTAACCCAGTGAACACAGGATGTCTAGTTGCATGTGACTTGATTAAACAGGTAAAACAGAGGAGCTGTGTGATGGGCCTGACTGGAGAAAACTAAAGAGGTAAATTGCATCTTTAGCTAATCAGTTTAAAGTAGAAAACAGTAACGCTACACTCAAACACTGTGAATTACTTTGATTTTAAAGCAAAGAAAAAATGTATGAAACAGGAACAAGGAATTTCAATATGTAAATCAATCAGTTTATCGTTTTTACTTTTCAAACAAACTCAGTTTCCATTCTGATCATAGCAGGCAGCACATAGTTTTCACAAAAGTACTGTAATATGTACGCTTTTCAGTAGGAACACAGCCTTATAAGTTGCAACATGAAATCTAACTTTTTGGTGAGAATCCTGAATTCTGTAATAACTTCAGATAAATTAAACCAGGATATATTACTAAGGGCAGGTAATCTACTTAATAATTCTGTCCTATATTTGCAAAATATGTAAATGTTAAGCAGTTTAAAGATGTATTACTTGTATTTTCAGTCAGTGTCATTTCACTTTATTTTAAAAACATTATATTCTGCAGCAAGGCTGTTCAAATGCAGGGTTGTTCAAATAGAAGAAAGATTACTTGTACAATTTTCCAAGTCTCATTGATATTTTGTAAATAGAAGAATTTTGCAAAATCCTTACTTATATTTAAACTTTCATATTCAAAAAGAGGATATATATACCTCCCATATACATTGAATATGAGGCTGTGCTGCAAGATCCGAGACTTTAAAAAGAGGCACAGCACTACAGCCAAAACATGCTTACACTGAAATTCAGCAACACAGAGAAAATGCTGGTGCAAAATGAGGTACTTTACCTCTAATGGTGTCTGCAGTATTCCAGCTAGTTGCTTTGCCAGTTGCATGTGGTACTGTGTACCAGATCCATATGTTTCCCTAGTAACTGGATTAGCTATACCCATACTCAGGAGATAGGACTTGAACCTAATAGTCTAGAAGAGCAAACAAATAAATAAATTTACAAGTACATCAGCTAGTGAATGATTCTGGGTTTTAAAAGTCTTTGGTTTTATTACTATAAGGCAGTTTTAGCGAATAAATCCTTAAATTTACTATCAAAAAAGTAAATTGCTAACAAAGAGAAGGCAAGACTTAACACAATTTTTTTTTGACCAGCAGAGGTCAAAAAATAGAAAAAAAATATACAAAATCAGTAAAATCCTTGCTTTAAGAAGCATTAAAGGAAAAATTAACACTAAACAAATAAATTCTGTAAGGGACCAAAACAAAAAGAAACCAACCAGGAAGTGGTCTTTATTAACATTACATGCATTAAATGGATAGCTTTTTGCTTTTCATAGGCACATTTCTGTTCACTTTAAAAACAAAATTCATTTACCTCATCCTCAGTGATGTCACCTTGTTTTTCTTTAATCTTATTAGCTATTGACTTGGATAACTCCACCATTTCCTTAGCCTATCAAGAAAGACACATAGATTAAGTCAACTTTCAGATCAACAGAGAAAAGCACGCTTGAAACTGAGAAAACAAGCAGAAGTCTACTTGGACAAGTGACACATGCCATACATACCTTCTCCATTAGTTTGCTAAGATCCTCAAAAGCCTGAAAAAAAAAGCAGACAATGCAGATCAGTGTAATTCACCTTCATGGATACAGGGAGCTGCCACTGTACACCTATCCAAGCTGTTCTTAAGAGCTGCTATCCCTTTAGGTTAACATGTTACAATATGATACATCGTATATAATTTGTTTACACATCTATTTTATATCAGGTCTTTTAACTAAAATACACACAAACAACAGAGAACGAAGACGAGAATCAAACAATTGCACACTTTTCCAGTGTGTAAACAGTAGTTCAATATGACTTATGAAGTCCACAATAGGAAGGAACAATGAGATACTGAGAAAAGATTAAACTCTTGAAGTTTATTATGCTCTCCTATAAGCTGGGGAAGGGTTTCTTGGTGGTGATGGCAGGTTTTCTTCCACCAGGTAACTCTCACTCAAGGAGATCTATTGTTTCTGGCCAGCAGCAAGCCAGATGTAAATATACAGATGTACTCCTCCAGACAAGACAATTTTACTTCAATCAGTAGATGTTACTAAGTTAATAAGAAACAGTCACTTCAAGTGAGCAAGGAAGAGGGTATATGTTTTCATGTGTATGCTTAACTGAAGGGACAAAACCTCTGAAAACATGTGGCAACATCTCTTCATTTAAGAATCACCATAAACTGCTATGGTCTCAAATACAACTTCAACAACAACAACAACACAAGCAGTATTTTAGGCTTAAATAAAACATATTTTAAAAATAGCTGAAAGTATACTGAAATTCAAAACTTAGTAATGAAAACTCAACTAGCTTTAAAAAAATTAATGTTTAAAAAAAAAAAAAAGAAAGAGCTAACAACTCCATGAATGTACCTGTATTAACAAGCAACTCTCTACTCTCTCATCCTCATCAACACACATTCAGCATCCCCACTCGCTTCTCTCACATATATGACAACGTGTCCAGGTGGTCGACTTTTCGAACAACCTTTTTTGAACAACTGTGAGAAAAATTCCTGAACCTTTTCAGCTCAACTTTGCCTGATGGCAGCACCAAACCCTCCAGCCACAAGAAAAGAAGGTTGTTCAGTTAGAATATGTCAAATGACCATATATATATATATATAGCCTACATCTCCTAGTCACTGCTTCCATGTGATTTCTGGCTTCTTCTGACTAATCCCCCACTAGAAAGACACATTTTAGCAGTATTTTTGCAGGAAGACTCAATCGTTCCCATCTGCATTTAGGTGCCTTACTTAAAAGCTTATTGGTCTGAGATCGAATATGCAAAGAAGAAAAGGAGATGCTTCTAGGAAGGGACAGGGTTTGCTTTTGATCTGAACACCTCCTAATGGTGCCAGTGTTTCTCCACTGACTGGAGAAGTTCAGCCTCTTAAGACTTGGTACCTAAGTTAGATGTCCAAAGTTTAATGGAACAAACCTAGGTTAAAGGGCAGAAAAGAAAATATACCACCGTAGAACAGTAATTTACCTCTATGAGAACAAGAGCTTCTCTTTGGAGTGTTTCTTCACTCCCTAATCTGCCAAATTCAATAATTTACAATAGATTTCCCAATCTCTAGTGTAAATCAACATCCTTCTACTGTACTTGTAAATGGTATCAAAAATAAGTTTTCTACCAAGGCTTTTCCCATCTTATTTCTAATCTCTATACCTGCATGAAAACATCATTCATCAAAAGAACCCTTGATTTAGCTAAATAAACAGCATGGCTGTGTCTAACTCCTCCTCTGCCTGACTCACCAAGGGCAGGCCTGGAAACAAAGGGAAATGTGCACACACCTAACAGGAACTTCCTCAGATAAACAAAAGGCTAAAGAACTGGATTCTTATCAGCACTGAACAGCAGATGCAGGAAGCCTTTTCCTGGAAGCCAGGGCACCATTTTTTAAATTAAGTCATTTATAACATTTAAAGCTGGAGGAAGGCAGGATTTTACAAGTCACGGTTTTCCTCTGTTCATACAACACATACAAATGGATTTCTTTTAGTCTTTGACAAAGCTACTAAAGGAAAAAATAAGCAGACAATACCTTTTGAACTATATACACACGCATGTAACCACAATACCTTTTGAACTACACAAAACTTCATTCATTACATTCCTCACAGACAGAAAGCAAAAAAGTTTAATGCTACCAGTATTGGAAACAGCACGTGGCCTGCAAAGGTAAAATCATTTTCTTATGTATTACAGCAGGGAATGGCCTTTTTCTCATGGAACATTGAATCCCATAAAGCTTTGCCACAAGAACACGTCTGTTGCATATAGTTTATGAGTACTTCTGTATTAAACTCTGCCAAGCAGAATCAGACTGTTTTTGAGGATATTGCTCTCAGGTATATATGAAGAAATTAAACATCTCTGTTGTCCATCAGTATTGATATTTGAAATTCAACCATTGTGTTGTTTCTAGGGAAAAGGATGGTCTCTATCTAGCCCAGGTGTTTTGCAAAATATACTTGTAACGTCTTGTCAATGCCTGGACTGCAAATCATTTTACTGTAATCATAACCCTAAATCTAACTTTTTTAAAAATTACTATTTATAAGATGAAAGCCTAACTTCACCACAGTTATGCTTGGACCAGCATATTCTTAATAATTCTCAACTGGAACCAAAATTAGTGTTAAAAAAATACAAAACTAAAGAACCCCCCCCGGACGTAACAGACTCTTTCTGGACATGAACTCAGATTTTAAATTCTAACAAAATTAATTTTATAAATAGACACACTTAGTTTCAAAGAACAGTCTTCTTGAAAGGAACTGTTTAAGTTAAGTACCTTTACATATATTGACAAGTCAGTTAAACAAAATAAGTACACTCAATCAATTCAGACTTCTCAACAAAAAAAAAATAAATAGTCTCAGATGCTCCTGCCCCTAAAAGAAAATGTGAATGAATGTAAGTGGTTCAGACAGGTGGCTGACCTTGAAACTTCAGAAGTACCTACCTCGGAAATGTTTTTGTCAGTCTCTTTTCTTTTTTCCTCTAATTTCCTTTCAATCCCTACAATTCCTACAGCCCTTATTCTTCCTGCCTAAAAAAAAAGAAGAAAGAATCAAAATAGGAAACGTTAAGTTTTCTCATCTGCCTCACTGTGAAAATTAGAGGAACAGGAAATGTTCCCCCAAAGAGTAGATATAATTCATACATGTATTTCATACATTTCTCAACAGTATTTTTTAAACCAGAGTAAAAAAAAAAGAAAAAAAAGTGTGAAACATGTATGAATTTGCTATATGAGACAGAAAATTACATTATTATATTGAAGCTATTAATATGAAGAAATTAATAGCCTGATCCAGACAGAGTATTCCCACTCATCTCAACTGTAGCCTCCCAAGTCCATGTGAACACGCATTACTAGAGCTGTGGAAATGCCTGAGTGTATCTAATCTATATTATGTAATGCCAAGTGCAGTCTAATTTACCTTGCTGAGAAGTATCAGCATGGAGATGATTGGTGAAACTTCTACTAGATGCCAAATGTGTTTTATAAGGGCTGGTACCTAAATGGCAGTGGTGCCAGCCCTCAAATCTCTGACTGCAAGGCTTAGCACTGGTGTTTATGAGCTGTTATGACCTAAGAACAAGAGGTCCTAATTTTCATTAGATTCTTCATGAAGGGTACAGGTTTTCCCATTAGTCCAAATGCAATGGTGCTTATAGGTACTACATTTGCCAAGGAGCACAAGAGGGATTTCATGTTGAGTAATTTTTAAATCATTTTACTCCATTCACACAGTACTGTATGTTCTTATATGCAACATGTTCATATAGAAAAACAACATCTACATGTTTATCAGTTTATAACCTAGAAGTATGCAGACAGATAAAGAGGGGAATCTAACCAATTAACATTTTCCGTAACAACTGTCCTTTTAGAATATTCATTTAAATCAAATATATACAGTTTTCAAAGTTACATATTATATATTTGATATTCAGTCACAAAAAAATCCCCAGAAATTGCAATTAAGACCAAAAATCTTGCAGCTTCATTAGATGTCTCATGCTAAATAAAGTTATATGCAAGTAGATATATTGCATTTGCACAATTACGTGTATGTATGTCTGATCAACTACTCCAGTCTAAACAAACTCAGGAGAGGTCACTGTGTTCTGTCAGGTGAAAACTTCAAAGGAGAAATTCATTGATGCCAGTGAAGAAATAGGCCAAGTAAAGCTGAATTCCCCCGTGCCAATCATGTTGGTTAGAGAGGCACACTGGATGCACTACAGGAGGGCAGCAAGAAGTGGACACAAGAAATTGCATACAGATTGTGCTCAGAGGTTCTGCACATACTTGTGTATCCTTGTTAACTTGCATGGCTTGACCAGTAGGTATGCTCTCCCATCTCCTTTGGGTCATTTCTTCTGATAACCGTCTATAGAACTGCAAACATTAAAGAGTAACAACAGATGTTTCATCAACTGTGCAGTGTACCTCTCTGGGTATTTTTAGCATCCTGGTGGTAGATGAAATAAACTTCACTATAAGGTAAAATGTGGTAACACCTACATACCCATAGTACAACATCCTTTATCTGGAAATTCTTAATGTCCAGTCTTCAAATACATATTAGAGTAGGAGCCATGTAGTCACTAGTTCAACTCATGTAAATACTTCTACTGTAAAATGTTTCTTTCAGATATTCAGAATGTTCCAAACCACGCTAAAGTTAAAAATGTCAAGGTTTCCTCAAAGGCATGCTTTTCAAAGGAAGGAAAGTTGAACGATCCAATTACTATTGATCTGTTAATTCAACAATATAAAAACAACCACACAGATCAATTACACTTATTTGTTTATTGCTAATACCAGAAGGTGGTATTAGTTAAATACTTAACACTAAGTGTATCCCACTGACCAATATCCAGAAAGAAAATCTATTCCATCCTTATGGTTGTTCAGGTTCACAGGAAAGCATTCTGAAGTCGTAAAGAAAAGCTGGGGTGTAACTGATATGCTGGGAACCAGTAAGCACAGTAAATTTCATTTTCAGACACAACACTAACATTAAAATAAATACGGTTATGATTAGGCAAAACACCTATACAACTATGCATAAATCTACCCTTGTCAATCTGAAAACTGTTCACAAAGAAATGAAAGTAAGTCTGATCACACACATGCATTTATAAGGCATTTCTAATTACTTTGAGTTAAAAATCTGATATTCTGCAGTGAACAGGTACAGCTTTTTTCATTGTTCAAAGTTAAAGTTCTCAGTCTCTTCAAACGAGGATCTTACACTGTGAAATTTCTTTACAGCATGTAATTTGTTAGTTTTTTAGGATGTGATTTGTTTTAAAAATATATTAAAATTTTCTTAGAATGCTCAGAGCCTTTGAGGTTGGGAATAAGTAAAAAAAAAATTCATAAAGCATAAAATGAAAAAGTGTTCAGCAAGTTTTTTGATTCCTGTTCAGTAGAGAGGTAGCTACACAGAAACACTCTGTTAAACATTTAACAGATTTCAAAGATGTCATTTTGGAAAATCCTGTGTTCAATCTACTAGATTAAAAAAGGAAGTATAAGATTATACTAAAACCAATACAGTAAGCATAAAGCCTAAGAATGGCTCTTGACATTTTTTGAACTCAATTTGCATCATTTAACCAAAGTATTGAATTAGGAAGACTTGTAGTGTTTGTCTTCCAAAAGGATGTACTGAAAAAGCTCCACCTCAAAAGTAAACACGGAAAGATCATGGAAAATTATCACTAACACAGCAAGAGGGGAAAAGCATGCCCAGCACCTGATGTGCTTGGCTTGCATGGTATAAAACTTACCTCAATCTGCCCATGTTCTTTGAAAGAAAGCTTGATGTAAGAATATTTGCTGCTTTGGAATGGACCAGGCTCTTTGTTTGAAGAAGCAGGATGAAGATGAACTACTATTTTAGCACTAAGAAAAAGGTAAAGGAAAGAGAATAAATCTTTGGATTATCTAAAAAAATTATTTCTACAATCAAAGTTAACAATTTAATCAAAACCTCTATTAACTTTATCTCATATAGAGAGCTAAAGTACATCAGCAAATGCTTTACATTTGTCCATCAACATTTAAATATTTTGACTAAGCAGATCTTGCATAAAAACTGCTATACCATCTGAAACAGCAATATCTCACAAATGTAAAATGTACCTACTATCAGTTCTTAAGAAATAAGCATAACAAATTTTAAAATTTCAATTGATAATTTCTGAAAAATCTGACTGTTGTCATTTCATTTGTCAGTAGTTATTGCAAGTCAAAAGCCAAAATACACTATCTTTGCCACAGGAAAACAGAAGGTCTCAATATTATGTTTAACCTATTCCACTGGCATATGTCACTTGTGAACACTGTATGTGAATTTGTCCAAAACCAACATTCAAAGGTAACATGCATGGAAATAACAGTCTAAAATGACACCACCAAAACAAACTTTCAGATAGTATTATTTTAAGAACATTAACGGACTCATATCACAACATGACTGCAAGCCGGCCATTCCATCACATTTTACTGATACTCTTTGCATTGGTCCTTATTTACTTGACTTCTTCAGCATTAGTGAATTACCTGATTTCTTCTGGATATCCTCAGCATGCCGATCTGACTGAAAGCAGATGGCAACTATGTATATATTTTTCCAGTTAATGTTTTCTCCCTTTTTTCTTGTGAAAGTTAGAATCATAGAATCATTTATGTTGGAAAAGATCTCTAAGATCATCAAGCCCAACTGTTAACTGAGCACTGCCAAACATGTCCCTAAGCCACATATGCACATCTTTTAGGTACATCCAGGGATGGTGACTCCACCACTTCTCCAGGCAGTCTGTTCCAATGCTTGACATCCCTTTGGGTGAAGAAGTTTTTCCTAATATCCAATCTAAACCTCCCCTGACACAACTTGAGGCAATTTCCCCTTGTTCTGTCACTTGTTACTTGAGAGTAATAAGGTGTCCCCTGAGTGTCCCTTCTCTAGGCTAAAGAACCCCAACTCTCTCAGTCACTCCTCGTAAGACTTGTGCTCCAAACACTTCACCATCTTTGCTGCCCTTCTCTGGACACACTCCAGCACCTCAATGCCTTTTTGAAGTGAGGGACTCAGAATTAAACACGGGATTCAAGGTGTGGCCTCACTAGTGCTGAGCACAGGGAGATATTCACTGCCCTGGCCCTGCTGGCTACACTATTGCTGACACAGGCCAGGATGCCATTGGCCTTCTTGGACACCTGAGCACACTGCTGGTTTATACACTCCTTTAGACACACACCTACTGAATTAGTTATTCCCTTAGCGGAAACACTTGAGTTCCTTCTAACCATCACTAGCATTGCCATGCTGAAAATCAATCATACAGTTATGAAAAGTCATATAATATGGAATCTGTCAAAGTTGCTATTCCCAAAGACTCCCGTGGCACAAAAGACTTAGCTTTCAATCTAGATCCAGCAAAATCACTGTTGTCATTTATGACTAATCAAATAATAATGACATGCTAAAACATATACCTGCTCGTGATTACAAGACAGTTATCTTAACAAATCACATCAAACAATGCTTTGTCACGACTCTCTTACGCATCTGACCTCAAATGAGCAGATCCTTGTGGCTGTCAATCTGGAAACTTAGATCGCAAATGGAATCTACCATGAATTAATATATAATATTGGGTACCTCATATGATATGCATGTGCAAAGTATTCATCTGAAAAGGACTGTGACCACCACCTTACCTTTTTCCTATCCCGGATGATTGCTCTTCAATAAATACGATCTGAGATAGAGGTACAGCAATGCAGCACTCCTGGAACAAACAACACAAGCATAAGTGAAATTAAAGCTATATCATGACTACTCATTCTCTAAACGCAGGTGTTCACCTTCCCCATTTCCCAAACAGTACGGATTTCTACAGGTGCTGCCTGAGGCAGTCCATATGAAATCTGATGGTAACAATAGAAACAATCTATTAAAGAGAAATATATGTAGAAAAATAACACAAAACTGAAACTGAGTTCTAGTTAATTAAAAAAACAACCAATAAATTTAAGTGTCAATGTGTTTAAAAACCTAAAGTAGATTCATAAGTGGACTAAGATCTAAAGATTTGTTAGATTTCCAAGTTCAAAATTTAAACACTAAAACTGACACACTACTGCAGCTCATCTGTGTAGGTGCACAATACCCATAGGTTCTTAACATTTTTGCACTGATTTTATTTGGGAGCTAAAACAATATCCCAAACCAGCAGCCTGTTTGAATCTCCAAAACACAAGACTATTGTCTCAGTGCAATAGAAATTTTTCCATCTATCCTACACCGAAGGACCGAATCCAGCACTCGATGCATTTCAACAAACATTTACTGGACTGTGCTTTAGACAAAACAAAGAAGAGCAAGAAACAAGATGGTATCCATCTGTAGGAGACTAAGATACCCCAAGCTAAAACATGTATCTGAGACAGAAATTGCTAAGGGAATGATTCAAAGCATCTAATTAGGTGCCTGGTCTTGTTTTTGTGAACATCCTTTGGTGACCATCATTTTCCACACAACAGCTTGGTGAGTGACACAGTCACAGAGAATAAAGGAAACACAGGTGGCATTCCCTCTTTGGACCTCTCTTTTCCACCTGCCATGAGGGTGTGCCTAGCACCACTCTACAGTGAACACTGTTAGAGAGCCCTCTCAACCTCTCCTACCAAAATTGTTCTTCTTTACATGGAATAATTAAATACCCATTAAACTGGAGATCAGAAAAGTGTACATGAAGGAACTCCAACTAATATGTAGATCTCTTACTGGCAAAAAACATGGGTTGTACTTCCTGTTCTTAAAAACTCTTCATGCAAGCTACCTAGATTCTTCTGTGGCTCCAGTTTCTACAGCCATTATGTAGAACAGTTACTGTTTGTAAAATACCCACAAAGTTCTGGATACCTTAAAGTCACACGATATGATACTTCTATTATAAAAAAGGTTTGAAAACAACAGAAGAGTTCAACTATATACAGCATGTGCACTGTCAAAGTGATTGATTCATTTAGTTCACATCTAGAAAGTTATGAACTCATTTTAAGTACAATGGCTTACAATGACTCCTTCCTCATGAGAGAACTAGACAAAGGAATACAGAAATAGAAATGTATTAAAAATGCTGTGTGTTTATTTGGAAATTTTTTTCTAATGTCTCATGCTCACATTATGTATGACTTTATCACTGAAAACGTACAAAATATACCTATGTGACAAACATTACAGAATTCAATTTTTTTTTTATTTTTTAAATCACTGTATTTTCTATCCTGTTCAAGGCGGATGGTATATAAAAACAGCACCTGTAAAACACAGCTATCTGCGGCTGTAAGAAGGTTTGCTATGTTCACCTAACGACAAGTGCCCCATTTATTATTAAAGTTTGCTGACACAATAGAAGGGGACTCTCTCTTCAAGTTTATTGCAGGTAAGCTAGCTACGGTTTCTAAGTCTGATGTTACACCACAGCTGAGCTTAGGCAACAACTCACCATGAAAATAAAAGGGCACTGTGCTCCCCATGTTTCAGTCAAAAGAGTGCAAAAATGAGTCAATTTTATTTACCACACTAACAAAGTTAATTACATCTCCGTAATCAGAAGTGGGTAAATTTTGCCAGTCTCCAGGACATGTTTTTGCCCCTTTTGTTAATCTGGCCTGGAGCTTGTCAAAATCTTTCCTGAGTTAAAGTAGGTAAAATAATTTTTTTTTCCCTTATTCTTCAGGGGTCTCCTCTGCTGATTTAGGAAATTCAATGATCTTGAAAGAGTACAGGAAATCATGTAGCCTAGGAGCAGAGGGAGAAGTTGAGAAAAAGAGACAGATGTCATCCTTTTATTGGAAAGGAGAGAATACAGATATGGTCAGTTCTAAGAGCTGCTGAAGTCATCATGCCTAATGTTACTTCAAACAAGGAAGAAGTCCAAGTGAGAAGACAAGAAGCAGTGCCTATGGCAGTACATGGTCACCTCTCAAAAAGAGATGCTGATGAAGAAATAAGAAGTGATTAACACACAGCTTAGCACAAACTCATGCGGACTGTGCAAAAAGCACAGTTAATTTATACAGACCAGCTCACAGACCGGACAATCAACCCCTGACTTGTGGAACAGTAACCCCACCCTGGGCAACAGCTCTTAAAACATTTTGAGACATTTGTACTAAAAATATTTCTGCTATTCCTGCAAACACTCCCTAGAGAAAAAAAACATATTGTTTTGCCAAATTTAAGAACATCCTTGGTGACACTGCCTTCAAAAAGCTCTTAGTAGCTCCCTGCTTTGGATCAAGGATGTGAATACTTGGTAGGGAATAGCCATCGGGTGTGACAGGTGCTTGTGCTACCCTTGCACAAAACTAGCCCAGTAGAACATAATTTGCCTTTGAAAAGATGTCATCTGAATGTGCTGTCTAAACTTTGGCTTCCAGAGCTAAATTTCTACATTATCGTGTCCAAAACAAGAAAAATCCAACCTGGTCTGAGGACTTCAGCTTCTCCTTCAATTGCCCCTGTAGTGTGATGCATGTTTCACAGTCTACGTTTAGAGCTTTGTATGTGTTTGTAGTTCTTCTCACCCACTTCCAGCCTGCAGTCGCAGGTTCTGGGTTGATGATACAAAGCATTCAGCAGCAATGTTACCACACTGTAATTCTGACAGTGTTACTTAACCTCGGACTAACTGTCCACAGCAGTACAGACAAATGTTCTGGCTTACTGAAGAGATGGTTCAGCACAGGAACAGGTAGTTGGGAGGGCCAGACCTGCCATCAAACACATCCTATTATCAAATCACAGTCTGGGACTATATGATGGGAGAAGAAGACAGGGAAACTTGTACTCGAAATCAATAAGGAAGAAAAAGTCTTCCTAGACAAGGATCATGGGAGAGAACTTCATGTTATGATCTGCCTGACACATTCAACTTCAGTCTCAAAACCAAAGTCTTTAGTACATGATACTAGGCTCTTTTCTCCATTATTTTTGTGCCACAGAAAAGGAAAGTTTATAGGATTTGTTCACATCCCTCCTCATCTCTGCATGGGTATTTTATTAAAGCAGAAACTGGGTCAAAGAACTTTCCTCCACATAATTTTCTTTCCACTGTGAGCAAAAAAATTGACTATACTTGTAAAAGAAAAGATGCACAAAGGAAGGAAAAATCTCCTCTCTGTGTGCAGTCTTTTCATTGCAAGCTACTTGTTGTTTATGATGGAATTTACAGCTGAATGACAAACAGGAGACAAAAGTAGGACTTACATGATTCTTCTGATCCCTCCAGATTAGTCTGTGTGTGCTAAGCAGTAACACTCCACTATCAAATTTCACCTAAACCAGAAAAATAATACAGATCAACAACAAATTTAACTGGTAAGTTGCATAAATACTGATCTTGGAAACATTACACCTTACCACGGACATAGCAATCAGAGTCAACAAGCCAATATTTTGAGAACATTCCCCTTTTTTCAGAAATCAAAATACATGAAGTTTAGGAAACAATGGAGAAAATAAGTATAAAGGGATTAGATGGATATACACAAACTTCCTTTTTAATGGGTATAAACTTTGCCCCCCAGAAATCCTAAGGGATCCTCCCTCCATATACTGTGCAAGATACACAAACATTTAAAGTAAAACAACCTACTAAGAAGATGCTACACATAGTTTGAAATCTTCCATTCTATCACACAGGAGTATTTCTTCTATCCATGTTACTGTTGAAAAGCTCTTTATTTATCAGACAGCAAACAGTACATGGAAAATCTGCGGTAGCAAATTGCTTCCTACTTGTAAAATCTGATGCACACTTTTACAGCTTTCTATGAGTGCATGCAATTACTGTGGTGTAGAAAAATGGAGAGAACAAGAGTCAGTCCAGCAGTAAAATGAAGCAATAAGCAGGCTGGCTCAGACAAGTGAAGTGTCAGCACCCTTGATGACCAGAGCACCAGTGCATTTTACAGCTACCAGGACAACTCCAGTGTGAATTCTGCGTCACGCCCAGTACATGACACCAAAGTAAGAGCTCAAGTCGCTGTGTAGGGCAACATGGGGAAGGCTCGGCCCTGACAGCTCGAGCAGTGGACAGCGCTTCGTGACAGCGATGCCAGCACACCCCATGGGGCTCCCAACCCTCCGTCCACGTGGCACACACTGTCCAAGGCCTTTCTCACAGAATCACAGAATGAGTTAGGTTGGGAAAGATCTCTGAGATCATCGAGGTCAACCTATGACCCAAAACCACCATGTCAACCACACCATGGCACTGAGTGCCACATCCAGTCTTTCCTTGAACACCTGCAGGGACAGTGGCTGCACCATCACTCCAATGTTTAATCACCCTTTCTGTGAAGAAACTCCTCCTAATGTCTAACCTAAACCTCCCCTGGTGCAGCTGAAGGATATGTCCTCTCGTCCTATCACTAGTTACCTGGAAGAAGAGATCAACCCCCACCTGGCTACAACCTCCTTTCAGGTAGTTGTAAAGAGCAAAAAGGTCCCCCCTGAGCCTCCCTCTTCTCCAGGCTAAACCCCAGCTCCCTCAGCTGCTCCTCATGGCACTTGTGCTCCAGACCCTTCATCAGGTCCACTGCCCTTCTCTGGACACGCCCCAGAACTTCGATGTCCTTCCTGAATTGAGTGACCAAGAACTGGACACAGCACTCGAAGTGTGGCCCCACCAGTGCTGAGTACAGCGGGACAATCACTGCCCTGGTCCTGCTGGCCACACTATTGCTGATACAGGCCAGGATGCCATTGGCCTTCTCGGCCACCTGGGCACACTGCTGGCTCATGTTCAGCCGGCTGTAGACCGGCACAGTCCCCCAGACCGTGGAACTCCGCCCTAACAATCTCCTCACAGACACAAACCCCGCCAGACCCTAGTGCAGAACGTCCTCCCACACCCCCGGCCCATGCTCCGCCCGCAGCCCAGGCCCTCACACCCGTCGTGTCGCGCCCCTCGCTCGACACCACCCACACTCACGGCCCTGCCGCCCCGCCGCCCGGGGCCCGCGGCCTCCTCTCCGCCCGGGCTGCGCCGCGCCGCGCTGCCAGGCCCCGCGCGGGGCCGCCCCCGTCACCTTCTCCTCCCCGTCGCTGAGGCGCACGCCGCGCTGCTGGACCACCAGCGTCTCCCCCAGCTCCAGCAGCCCGGTGGTCCACGAGAACCTGTCCATGGCCGCCCTCCCCTTCCTCGGCCTCCCCGGGCCGCGGCGGCCGCTCCCCGCCCGCAGCCGCCGGACGCGCCGGGACCGTGCGCGGCCGCCCCGCGCCCTCTGGCGGCGGCTCAGGGAGCGGCCGCCATGTTCGCCACCGCGCGGCGGCACGGGAGGGCAGCGCCCGCCCCCCGCCATTGGCCAGTTCGAGCCCCGCGGCCCGGCCCACCGGGGCGGCCCCGCCGGCCGGCGCGCGATTCAAACGCTGGCTGCCCGCGGCCATGGCGGCGCGCGCCGCTCCGCTGCTCCCGGCCAGCCGCAGGTCCGAGCCCGCCTTCCGAGGTACGGCCGGGGGAGAGGGGCACCGGCGGGCTGAGCTGCCCCCCTACCCCGCACACACACGCTGCCCGGCCGCGCGGGGCTGAGCGTTACCGCTCGTCGTTACGGCCCCACGAACGGGGGAGCCGGTGGGAGCGGGGGAGCCGGTGGGAGCGGGGGAGCCGGTGGGAGCGGGGGAGCCGGTGGGAGCGGGGGAGCCGGTGGGAGCGGGGGAGCCGGTGGGAGCGGGGGAGCCGGTGGGAGCGGGGAGCCGGTCGCTCTCCCCGAGAAGCCGAAAGCGAGGGAAAGCGCCCCAGGCCTTGGCAGCAGCGCTCGCTGTCGTGGTGTTAGAGCTTCGCCCTGCCCTGACAGCGCTGGGGCCGGTGCGGACCGCACCCCGTCGCATCCCACACCTCGCCCTGTCATCCCATCCCCTGGCCCAGGCAGGGCTCCTGGGGTAGAAGCCGTCCCTCAGGACGAAAGAGACGCCCTAACGTAAGAGCGTCCCACTGAAACCAGCAAATGTGCCGCTGATCTAGGTCCGTCCTCTTGTGTTCATTTACTTTCTGAACGGTTTGGCTCCTGCAACTTAAAGCAACAGAGTTGCTTTGAATGGGACTTTGCTGTTTGTGCGAAGGGCGGTGCGAGCTGTTTCCAAAGCAGAAGGTGCTGGGGGGCCTTTGGGGTGCTTGCTGCTATGCAGCATCTCTTGGCAGGTGCATCTTTGCTGTAGCGTCTTCAGAAGCAGGTGGCGTACACGGTCTTTCGTAAACTTTGTCCAGAGAAGGGCAGCGAAGCTGGTGAAGGGTTGGAGCAAAAGTCCCTCGAGGAGCGGCAGAGGAGGGTGGGGTTGTTCAGCCTGGAGGAGGCTCAGGGGGACCTTATCACTCTTTGCAACTACCTCAAAGGAGGTTGTAGCCAGGTGGGAGTTGGTCTCTTCGCCCAGTCAACTAGTGACAGGACGAGAGGACGTAGTCTCAAACTGTGACACGGGAGGTTGGACATTAAAAGGAGTTTCTTCACAGAATGGGTGATTAGACGTTAGAATAGGCTGCCCAGGGAAGTGGTGGAGGCACCGTCCCTGGAGGGACAATCACAGCTGTCTTAGGACCTATTCAGGATCACTTTGTGCTGTTATTGACACTCCTGTTAGTCCAACATTTGCACAGATGCCCAGGTGACAGTGGAAGATAAGCAAATGATTTTACAGGTGATCACTTGGGTTCATGTGTGTGGTGTTTTTCATGTGTGCTATGCTTGCTGCTGCCATAGATGAAAAGTGTGCTTGCTGATGAGTGAGCCTGACTTCTTCCCATCAAATAATTGTGTTTCTTTTGGGTTAACGCAGCAAAACAACCAACTTGTAGAGCTGTGAAATACATTCAAGTGCCCCTTGAATATATCCTTTCTCAAGAAATGAATGTGTAATTGCGACGTGAATATTGAACTAAAAACATCCTTAATCCATAATGTCTCTGTTTCATAAAGTCTTGATGCTTTTCTAATTGCATTTCCTTTTTTTTACTAAGAATCAAAGTTTGTCTTTTGCCATATTAGCTGAAAATGTACTAAGTCTGTCTTTTAAAACCCACTAGAACAAAGGCGACAAAAAGTCGAAGAATATTTGTCAAGAAAGAAGACTTTTTCTGGTGTGCCCATTCAAGAAAACCAGACATCGATCAGGTAGTATTTCTGCTATGGCTTAAATTCTTTATATTCACTAATATACCTTAATTTTCATCTCAGCTGTCTTCTGTAAGATCATCTGATGCAAAGGTACCATCTGTGAACTGGAATGTTCATTTTCAGTCACATGAAGTAATGCCACATGTTTTTTATAATGCATCGCGAAGCATCTGAGGAAGAGCTTGGATTTGTAACTCTAAGCTGAGATGTTTTTCTTCTGAGCTGTCAATACATTTTCATAGTTGCTAGGAGACAATACTGGTTTGGTGGTTTTGTAACTCACTGGGTAGTCTGATGCCAGCTCTGGTGCGTGATTGAAGGTTTTGGAACCTGTCACTATGGTAGAAACTAGGTGTCCTTGTTCAGACTCGCCTCAAATGGCCTGGGCTCTGATGGTTGCAGTAGCTTCGACTCCTTGAGCTACTCCTCCTTTGCCCTCAACTGCAGAATTTAGAAACTTAAACTTCTGTAGCAAATGCATCAGGTTAGACAAGTTGGTGCTCATCCTTAAACATGAGAAACCTGCAGTCAATTCCAATCTGTTAGCCAGCTCTTCGTGGTGTAGGATGGGATGTTTTGCAGTCTGGGCCCTGATCAGTGGTTGCTTAATTTTTATTTTTTTTTTTTTTTTTCTGGAAGAATAGTACAAGCTAAACAGAAATACTTCAGTGTGAGTTCAGCCTGCTGACTGCCAACTGGACCAAAAATACATTCCTTTGTTGCATGATTTAAGATTTTATTTTTTTTTAAGCAGTAACAGAACTAGGAGAGCAACTAGCAATAAGGTGCAAGAAAACTTACAGCTCTCAACATCTCCAAAGCCAGAAATGGTAAGTTTTTGACTGATATTTAAATACTGATGGTACTCTGTTCCTGCAGCTACAACATTCCACTCACTTAAATCATATTTACGTTATATGACTTCCAGTGCATGAGAAGTTTTCAGGCACAGAAGTGCAGTTTGTTAAAACTTTATTCAGTCACTATTTATTATATGCTTTCTGCAAAGCTGTCACATTACAGTATGTAATGGATCATATTGATATTCAGTTTGTACCCAATGGGAGAGGGAGTTAGAGGATACCATTGTTGCTGAAATAATGCTTTAATTTTAACAACTTTCTTAAGAATCTCTGATATTTTTTTTAATATATTTTCAGTCTTTAGGGAATTAATTTAAAATCTGATTAAGGTCTTCTTACAAAGTAGAGAAGTCTTCTATTTATACTCTGTTACTTGGAAGAAAACCGAATCATTAACAAAACTAACTGTTGAGTGTGGTTTTTCAGTTGTGTACTGGCAAATCTAATGTAACCAGAAGTAGGTGCCAATATCTAATCAGAATGTAATGGAACATGTTCCCTATATAATTTCATGTCACTTTTCCAAAATTAAGATGCAAATGGTTGTGCTGCTTAGAAATAGCAAAATAGAGATTCTTCTTCAGATCTGTTCTCAGGGAAGTTGAGATAAAAATAAACACAAGACCTGGGTTCATGTTAGGCAGTTTTGAATGTGAGTTACCAAAGATTTGAGATGCAGAGTTATTTGAGAAGGAAACCAATAACCTTAAAACTTCAAAACAGAATGTTGAGGGGAAAAATTCCAAAAGTGAGAATGAAGTTGGGGTTTTTTTAGAAGTTTCCAGAAGGGACATATTTTGTTTTGTATAAATGTCTTGTGTGATTTTAAAGTGAAGTTAAGCTACATAGCTTCCTGAAATAACAACTCTCATACTCAAGCTCTAGTTATAGAAATCAAATAGGTCAAATCTAACTTCTACTCCTGAATGACAGACCAAGAAATAAGATGCAGTGTAGTTTTCTTACAGTTTGAGGGCATCTTAAATAAAAGAGTATCAGCCTCTGCAGAAGTCCATGTGTCATTCGTGTTTTTTTCCTGCCTTAGATATTTCACTCTTTCAAAAGTTGCTGCTTGGACAATGCTGAATTAGTTGCTGTAGAGCATCTTCTTTGGAGGAGAAGACTAGATCCCACTACTCATGGAGGGTTGTGCTGAGAACATATGGCTGAGAGTTTCAGGGAGTAGTAAATCCATACAAAACTGACATAACTATTCTTGACTTACAGCATCCTGTAGCTCAATAGTAAGAAAAACTCTCCCTCTTCTGGTAACAACTCCTAGTGCCCTAATTAAAGGTTTTACTCACTACCTCCTGCTAGTAGACTATCCACACTAAGTGGAGGAATGGTGCTGCCATTAAGTGATGAGGTAGGTAGAGATACTGCTTTTGACTATATACAGTCTAAAGCAAGTTTCTATTTATAACTTTTCTTAGAAGGTAATTTTGGCAGTTAAAAGCCAGTAGTTACTTTGAGAGTTTTGTTTCTTACTTCCAAGGCAGAATTTAAGCAATTTTTATTTGATTTTTTTTTTAATGTGAATTCTGCAATAATAGTTGACAAATATTCTACTCAATATTTATACACTGCTTCTGTAGGTACTTCTTAAGTGGCATTTACCTTTAATCACTTCAGTCCTATAAATCAGTGGAAGCAACTTTAGAAAAAAGTAACATGCAGAATGAAGGTACTTCTAACATTACCGTGGATTTGCTTTTGATTTCAGGAAAATAAAGAGAATGATGATAAACTGTCATGGGATCAATCAAGTGTAAGCTCAGAAAAAAATGTTACTTTAAACTCTTCCACAATCCCACTGACAAGTTACCTCTCAGGGACAAACTGGAATCTTGAAGGTAAAGCTTCAAAGGCCAAAGCTCCTGAAACAAAATCTCAGCATGCATCACTTAGTAAAGCCTTCTTGGAAATAAAAAGAATAAGAGAGAAGCAATTGATTGCGGAAAAACAAAATGCAAGTATCAGCCTACCAAAGAAACCAGCACTTGGCAAATATCGTGGCAAAGTTATCCCATCCAAGATAAATTCCTTCCGAAAAACAGTAAAAACTGAGGGGGAGAAAGGTTCTTTGCCAGAGAAGAAGCTTCTTCCTTCTGCCACCAAACAAGCAGCAAGTTCTATGTCCACAAAAAGCTGTAGTGCAGTTCTGAAGAACATCAAAGTCACAAACAACCCTAAGTCTGTAAAATCGAGTGTTGTCC